ACTTAATTAAAGAAAAGTAAAATGTTCTTGAAAAGTTTAAAATCTGCACTAACTTAAATTTTTTAATGCTACATTTTTTTTTTTGTTGTTGAGATTTTTAAAATCCAAGTGCCAAACCCATTGGGCTACATTTTAAACATTGAACCTATTCTTAAATCAAGACCCAACCCAAAAATATTCCATCCCAATTGTATAAAAATGAAAACCCAGCTCGGTCTTGTTATTTAGTTATAATGCCTGGATGAACAGAATATGTTACAGAGCTGGAAGAGAATGTCAAAAAATGTAATTTTCTCAAGGATCTAAGAATAACCATGCTTTGATACCACTAAATTGTAATACCCATAATTTGAGATTGAGGCACATTACAATACCGCACCGCATGTCTGTGAACAAGTCTCATAAAATATATATCAATTGCATGGCAACACTTTTAATTTCTCAAATATACAATAGTAAAATTTGAAAGTCATAAATAACAAGATATATATTTATATTCAGTTGTAATCTAATTAAATTCGTAATCTCATTAAGTCATTTAGTCAAATGATGATTAATCTCTGTCACAAGTTTACAAATTTATTTTTTGCCATGTAATTAAATCTTACTTTAAAAAAATATTATTTAGTTTAAAAAATATTAAAAATTAAATTAATATTGAATAGAAGTTTGGGATTACAGATTTGAGTAGAAACAAATTAGTAATACAATGAAGCAATGAACAAATTAAGGATACATATCGGCTGTAGTTATTTCAAGTATTACTTTTTTTTGGTTCTATCCTTTGCATGTATATATATTACCCCCGCTTAGGTATTCTCTTAATTTCTATCATTACGATCCAAAAAGAGTCTTAAGTTCCATCTTCTGCTGCATACAAATATTGCATATCATATAATCAGCAGTTTGATGAGGAATAGGAGCAATATATATCTAGCATGGTTTGCCTCGGTAGCAGTCAAGTGAACCAGCATAGCGTGTGAGTAGAGAAGCAGCTACTCCATGCTTGGCCCTGATGATGTCCTTCCTTGAGTATGGAGGTTTGTATTTTGGATTCCCGGATTGAACAAAGAAAGCTCCATTCATCATTACATCTTTTTCTGATTTCCATATCCACTTCTTCCACTTATCTGGCGTAGCATAGTCTCTCTTTGTCACCTGCATATAAACATATATATATATATATATATATATATATATAAAGAGAGAGAGAGAGAGAGAGAGAGAGAGAGATTATTACCATTTAATGTTCTATTAGCATACTATCTATATATATATATATATATTATGCATGTTGAATTACCTCTTTGGAGAAGGGCTTGTGTGGAGGAGCAATGAACCTGTTTCCCTGGCTTAAGATGGTGGGGTTCATGCTACCACCAATGGCGTACATTTCCCAATGAGTGTAATCATTGTTGACAACATGGAAGAAACCCCATCTACATCTTGGCATTCTCTGCACCAATCCCTTCCCGAAATGATTGTATGCAACTGTCACCTGCATGATCTTGTCACCCTTGTATGAATCGCTGGCACCCAACAATATCACCTGCAAAACACACCCATCAAATTTTAATTATGATTAGTGTCATAAAGTTTTAAGTGGGATTTTGGATTTTGCTTGCTCACGTCGTTGTGATGGGTGAAATGGCAATTAGAAATGGTGATGGCAGTGGATCCCTGGATGGCATCAATGAGTCCATCTTGGCATCTTGACATGGAAAGATGGTCGAGCCAAACGTTAGAGGACGCATAAATGTTAATCCCATCACCATCACTTGCTGTACGGATTCCAAAGTGTGCGACAGAGTCTCTGATCAACCCACCAGGGCTACCCACAATGTGATGAATATGAAGTCCATGGATGATAACATTCTTGACACTATGGATGGTTATGCCGGCTCCATAAGCAATATGGATATTGGTTCCACGAGCATCGATTGTCTTGTGACTGTTGATCATCAGCTCCTGGGACAACCTGATGTGCATGTCGCGCTTGAAGATGATCCAGAGAGGTTCTGTTTGGATCACACCGTAGCGGAGAGTACCTGGTTTTGGGTTCACAACGTTGTCGTCTTTGTTGCTTGTCACAACATAGATTCTTCCTCTCATTCCTCCTCTGGTTCTGTGAGCGAAACCTCGAACACAAGTCGCAAGCTTTTTGCGGTTTCTAGCCCAGTTGCGTCTGCAACGCCAGCATTTATCGATTGGGTTCGTGACTCTGCATGGACCCAAGTGCTTCTTTCCTCTCCCCCTTCCCGCTAAGCTCCTTCTTAAGCTTTCTTGCTCCATATCAGAGCTCCTGTATTGGTAATTCTTGTATTATGCCACATACTCATCATCACATGCAGAAAAATTTATATGTATATGACACCGATGGATTTAATTACATGTTAGCAGAAATGGAAAACTTATTCCCTCTGCTCTTTCCCTCCAAGCTTCCTCTGTCGCTTTCCTCCTCCTCCTCCATCTCAATCTCAGAGCTCCTGCACCAAATTATTGGTATTATGGACACCACATATGTACAGCACATACACACACATATACATACATATACATATGAGAAGTTTAAAGGTGATGCACGAGTCTTTGTTAACAAAAATAAAATTTTACTAACTATTATTTAACTAAATAAATAGTGGATATATTTTATTTTTCTATAAAAAATTATAAATTTGAGTTAAATTATGATTTTTTATATAAATTATATTTTATTAAAACATAATTATTATCTAATTATCATCATCAAATTGATGAGAGCATATATTTTTTTACCTAATTGATGAGTGCATATCAAACATGAGAAAAAAAATTTTATCTCACGTAAAATAATTACATGTTAGTAGGAAGGTGAAAGTGATCCACGATGTCATAGGGATTCGGATGATAAGCTTCAAGGGCATCTTTCCTGGATTCCTCTGCTCTTTTCTCCCAATAATCATCGAACATTTCAGTGTCAGCCAACAGGCTTTGGATCAAGCTCGCAAAAGAAAAGAGAAAAAGCAAACATAGCCTCACTTTCTCCATTTTTCCACCTCTGGTTTTTTTTTTTTTTTTTTTTAAATTTTTTTTTGTTTTGTTTTTTTTTTAATTTTTTTGGGGGATTTGTTGTTTTTCTTTTCCTATATTCTCCCCTTTGTTTTTTGCTTCTTGGGTATATGTTAGTGAGAGGAAACGGTCTAGGGTTGAACCCTTACAGAATTACTGGGTCCAACCAAGCTAGACCGTAGCAATGAAAGAAAGCAATGGAGGTTTGCTAAGCGAACCTCATGCTTAAAGCATGAATTGCCTTTGAGTTTCCTCAACACTACAAGGTTTACAGGCTTTTTTAGGGTATGTTTATATACATTCTTAAAGTCCAGACTGTTAGGAGCGTAGACAATGGATAACCATCCTTTCAATCTAGATCTGTGTATATACGTCAAGAATAGTAAAAGAGGGTTATATGTGGTTCATTTTCTTTTTCTATATAGAATAGACTGCTTCTTTAAGTCGACAAGCATGGCTACAACTAAGAGTTTTAATTTGTGGCTTAGATTTTCTTTAAATAAAACTGGGTAAGAGAAAATTCTGTTTGCAATTAACTTATTTCTTGGCCATCATTCAATTCTACATGTTTTTTGTTTTGTCATTTTATGGCTAATCATTTTGTTTTGTTTGTTGATTAACTAATTTCCCTCTAAATATTTCAATTTTGATCTCTCTATTTATTAATCATATTTAGTTGTATATTCAACAACAAAATTAATATTAACTACTGTAGCTAGTTATTTTTCTCAAGTTAAATTACTTAGTAACTTTTAAATATAAAATAGATAAAGACTATATAATGTCTTTAATCATAATTAAGAAACTTAACAAAATACATTGAACAAATATCTAACCGGAATCGAGTTATAAAAATCAGAATTATTGTCGGACTCATATAGTTTATGTTCAAGTATTTTCAAGAGAATTTAGATAATTTATTAATTAAATAGGCATCGATTTAAATGTAAGAATGTTTTTCCAGTTGAATTGACGTGCACTATCCTTTTACCTATCTAGTTTTGAACTATCGTGAATTATTGATAATTAATAACCAGGTAATAGAATCATATAAATATAATAAACTTGTTTGTAAATGATAATAATATTTTCACTTAGTTAACAGAAATTACAATAAATTGTAATTTTATCTAAATTAGCATGTGATAATTAATTAAAAAATATATATATATTTTTATAGATCTGCTCTTATTTGTAAAAATAAGATAATGTTAATTACTTGATTGTTTAAGAAATAATCAAATAATTAAAAAATATTATGTTAAGAACAAAGACTTATTCAATAAAAAAGTTTGTCAAATGATATGTAACATGTCACACGTATACATATGACAGATTTAGGCTAAAAACATGCCGCTATAACTAAAAATAAACATCAAAGAAGACAAATTGCAAGCTGAAAGAACTATCAATGATCATCCATCTTCCTTTTACTGTAAGAAATACAGGTAACTTTGATTATATCAATCATTTTACATTTTATATAGATATTTTTTAAATAAGTGCTTGAACTGATAATTTTAAAAGTTTGAATAAATAAGAAATTATTCAATCAAATATTTATATTTTAATATGCCATTTACATATAAGCGTACAAGGATAAGAGTACGAATAATGCACATCTAAACTTAAAACGAAGTGAATTTATAACGGTTTCAGAAATTCAAAAGAAAATACATATAATAATATGAGTGCGGAAGAGAAATAAAAAATTAAGCTTAACATCCTTTACATAATAACTTAAAAGTACTAAACAATATCACGAAATAAGTTCTCCAAAAAAAATACAAAAAATGAGAAAAATAAAAGAAACTATAAAGCATGTAGCATATACTCGCCGTTTTCTTGTAGATCAGGCTCGGGAACTAGGTCGTCTTGATATGAATGGTTAAATAAGAAATGAGATACACTAGTCCAGTAAGGACATCACACTATATCACCGTCACATAAGCAAAATTTGATAGAAAACCGAAAACAACTAATGGAGCATAAATTTTAAACCAATACAATTATTTAAAATAAAACCACTTACCTTTTTTCTTACCCTTGGAGAACTTGTGAAAACAACCTATGAAAACAATAACATCATACAGATCACAATTTTATGCATAATCAGTAACATAAAACGCATCATAAATCCGTATTCATTAACAATAACTGATTATCACCGTTTCTTGTTTTCACCAGTCTGCTAGTATTTATGGGGATCTATAGGAGTCCCCGCTACACGTGAACCATTCTCCTTAACAATCTTAATTTCAAGGCCGTCCTCATACCCCGTTCGATATGAGCGCCAAAATAATAAACCTCAATACTCCGTCTGGTATGAGGATGAAGCAGGCCGTCCCCATACCCCATCCGGTATGAGAGCCAAATGACCAAGTCTCCATACCCCGCCCGGTATGAGACAACGTTCACGGTAGGGTTCCCTATGAATCCAGTCCGTCTACCATTTTCCAAGATATCTAGTGAGACTGTCATCTTATCCATTTATCAAATCACATCCCATTCCTATTTATCCTTAGTCTCCGTTACCAACTCAAACATAAATACATAAACTAGTAACGAGCATCTAACAAAACAAGCATATCGTAGATTTTCAAAATCAAACAGTAGTGAAGTACGCAGTGATACATGCATTTAAAACCATATAATAGATAAACTAGATAGTATAATGCATTTAAACTGTAAAATAAATCAAACAGGAATTGACAGAGAATAATGTTCAGTTCGGGCTCCATTAGCAACCGTAATTAATTATACATATATATTTAATTTGTACAAAATACAGTATTATCATTTATTCAAACTTTAATTCCATGATAGGAAATATGGTGAGGGGTTCTTATTTGATTCGACGTCGAAAACTAGATTGTCATTGCGCCTATGGGCGGTCCTTTGGTTCCCTAAATTTTTTTCTTGGGAACTGAAACACGCTTACGGTATCTAGACATGTCCCAAATAACTCAAAAATCAGAACTAAGGCCTACTCGGCCAATTTTGGAATTCCAGCAGGGCAGCTCTGCCGTGCTCCGGCGATGACGCCACCGCGAACGGCGACGATCCGCATCAGGTTGACTGTTTTCGGCCATTTTCGGCCGAATTTAGCCAAACTTGCATCGATTCCTGTGAGAAAACACACTTAGGGCCTTCGGTGGGCCCAAAAAATGTAAAAAATTGAAACTCACCAGCAGTGGGGTCATCCGGTGTAGCGGCTCCTCCGGCTTACGTTGAGGTTGGGTGTTTTGCTCTGGTCAACCTGTAGAGGAGAAAATGGTGATTACAACGGTGAAAAAATCACATCAAACGGGAATCGGGAAGGGCCTCTTCGGAGGCAAAAATTGAAACACCCCGTGGCAGTGTCGCAAAGTTTCGGCGGCGTTTTCCGGCTGCTTTCGCTCCGATTTAGCCATAGGTGGGTTTAGAATCAAATTCTAAGCAAAGAGTAAAATTTTTACCTTATTTGGCAGCCGAAAATTACTCCGGTACGGCGGTGGGTGATAGCGGTCGGCTCCCCGGCGACTGGGCTGTCTTCTCCGGCGAGGGGCTCTGGCAGCTGGAGTTAGGGTTTGGGTGCGGATGGGGTTATTTATACCCATCCACTTTAAATCTGGGTCGTCCGTGCGCATTTTTAATATGGGCCGTCCGTGCGTGCAGGAACGGATCTCAGCCGTTCGATCGCACGCACGCGGATCGCCAATGTGGCTCCCTCCCGCATCAGCGTCCCTGCCACCTGGCGCGTCCTGGTTGGTCGGGGCTACTGAGCGGACAGCTAATGTGGCACAACTTTTTTAAATTGCGTTTTGACCCCCGATTTTCGATTTTTTTTCAAAAATATTCTCAAAATTTTACCCATTTTCTCTAAAATTATTTTCAATTAAATCTCTAAATATTTTTTACCCATTATTATTATTATTATTTTTATTAAAATAAATTAAATTCAATTCAATTCAATTAATACATATTTTATATTTATATAAAATTAATAAAAATGAAATAAAATAAATAAAAATAATTGGGTGTAACAGAATTTATATGCATTTAATATGTTCTCTTAGGCGTAAATTTATTATGCTAAAAATATGAATTATGTACATTTAAACAGAAAAATAACGACACCAAATAAGGTGTGATTTTCTAACTTGTTTATTTGTTATAATGTGAAAATATGCATGTTTACTTGAGAAGTAATCGACAGTTATTCTACCAATAATAATGTGTCAAAAAATGGAATGACTTATACCACTCCAAATCATGCATTTATGTCATTTAGCTTATGTATTTATTTGACCAAGTAGTTACTACTAACCTAATAATAATTAAGCTGCCTTCGTGTATCTAATATATCTAATTTACTTTAATATTTGAAGATAGCAAGAATTTGTTGAACGAAAAATATTAAAAGAGACAGCAAGATCAACTTCATGTGAAGTTGTGACAGAAGCATATTTACAGTGACGAGATAACTCTTGAAAGCATTTGTTTGGCAGTATATATATATATATGTATATGACTTAAGGTAATACAGAATGAAAGAAATCATCTTCTGTTCGAGGAAACTAAATGCACTTCATTCTCATTTATATAAATAAAAGAGCTGTGAATTACTAACAGACTTGACTTCTTGTGTTGCAAGAATATTCCAAACATTTCCTTGTGTTATCCGCCCACATATCTCTTTCAAATATTGATTCCAAACATATATAACTGTATACATATTTAATAAAAAATATATATATTTTTTGATTAATTCTCTTGGAAACACCGTCAGTAGAGCTGCGTGAGGGGAAGAAACTCCATATCCACCGCAAGTACCTCAACACAAGATCTAATTAAACATGCACCGTCAAGTGGCAGATAGATAAAGAACCAGGCGAAGAAGCCAAGAAAACTGAGAAAACTTTTCGTAAGTTGATCAGAATATTGTATGTTGTTTGCCAAGTTAACTATTGACTGGCAGTACCGGCACACACACATATATAGACACACATACATACATACATACATACATATATATATATATATATATATATATTATACTTTCATTATTTTTATTATAAAGAGAGAAACAACCATTTGGAGTATTCTTCTAGGCTGTTGTTATGCCAAAATTGCTATATTCATATAATTGTTAGCCTGTTTCTTAAGCTTGTTAATTTGGCTTTAGTTGGTGCTGTAGTCATTCACAGTACTTTACTGTTATACTGCTTACAAACTAGAATATGAGATCAACAGTAAACTTAGCTTATTTTCGTAATAAATCAACTTTATTTGTAAATCTATTTAAAATTTTATATTTATTTTAGATACAAGATAAATTTAACTAAAAAACAAATAAACTTTGTGAACATTCCAAGTGGCATTGTGATAAAATGATGATTCAGATGAATTATTCTGTAACCTAGAGCGCTCTGTGAGTATTGAGCATATATAGTTCTGCTTTTGGAGTAATATGAAACTCAAACCCAGCCATTGAAAAAAGAATGAAACGCGTTGGAATATTCATAGAATATTTTCCAATAAACCTACTTGATTATTAATAGTTTCAGGACTGTATAACACATGGAGAATTGTACATAATTTTTTCTCATAAGATTTTTTTAAAATATAATAAATGAAGAAGATACAAGGCTTTGAAACCGTGGATTTCAGATCTTGGTACTGGCAAACAGAGTAAGGACAACTAAATTTGTTTGAACATTCAAGATTTGTCTTCAAGTTGCTCAGTGATCATCGCCGGCTCCTTTGTTTTGACTCACCAAACATAACAACAAAAAAATGAAATCCAAATCAAACACAGTTGGTATATATAAATACGCATACTAAGCTAATTCTTTCCAACTCAAGCAAACTCAAGAACGAAAGCGGTAGAGAGAAGAAAACATCAGAAGGATCAGAAGCTAATATAGTACATATCATGGAAATGATTATGGTTAAGAATGAAGAAATCCAAGGAAGACGCCGCGTGTATATTCCATCTGATGGTGAGATCCAGGAAAAAAGGTGTGTAAAAAGGCGACGAAGAGAGCCAGCTTCGGCTGCTGTAGGTTGTTATAATGATAATCAGAATCAGCAGCAGCAACCAAGTGATCATCAGACTTCTTCTGCTGCCACCACAGTGAAAAGAAGTTCAAGGTTCCGTGGAGTAAGCAGGTATATATATACACACACACACACACACAGTCTAAGAAGAAGAACTCCAACATAAATTACTTGTTTAACTTGTTAGTATAAGTAGTTGCTGATATGTGCATGGGCCTGTGTGGAATGGAAATTCTATGAAACAGGCACAGATGGACTGGAAGATTTGAAGCTCATTTGTGGGACAAACTCTCATGGAATGTAACACAAAAGAAAAAAGGCAAACAAGGTATATATATATAATATACATGTACATACACACAGTTTAATATTATTTTTTTCTTCTCAATATTCACTTGTTCATAAAAATTTGATTTGATTATTACTCTAAATACTATCTAATACCTGGCTTGGTACTTTATGTTGCTTCATCTGTTCTGTGCTATGGAACTGATATGGGGGTCAACAGTTTACCTTGGTGAGTGATCTTCTACTGCTTATAAGTAAATTGAAGGCCACCAATTTTTTTTTCTTTTTGAATTATGTGGAGAAGGTTACATGTAATTATTTCTTGTGAAATTTCAGGAGCTTATGATGAAGAAGAAGCTGCTGCAAGAGCATATGATTTAGCTGCAATCAAGTACTGGGGGAAATCAACTTTCACCAACTTTCCGGTATATACTTGGTTATTTCACATATTGTATACATATATGGAGGCCTTGTATAGAAATCAGAGAAGTAAAGTATATATACAAACACCTTTTTGCGATCTATGCAGATTCCCGAATACGAAGCAGAGATCGAGATCATGCAAAATCTCACAAAAGAGGAATACCTGGCCTCTTTAAGAAGGTTATTACATCACTCAATTTGAAATCCTTGATTAACAGTTCCTTTCTAGACTTGTAGAAGATAATTAGAAATTTCATGGGAATTACAGAAAGAGCAGTGGATTTTCAAGAGGTGTATCCAAGTATCGAGGAGTTGCAAGGTAATAATTCTCTTGATAATTCACCGGTTTTTTGAGGTTTCAGTTATAAAAATCGAGATTCTAACATGTACAATTTGGATTTGCAGGCACCATCATAATGGAAGATGGGAAGCAAGAATAGGTAGAGTTTTCGGAAACAAATACCTTTACCTTGGCACTTACAGTAAGTTAATAATCACTAAATCAATAATTACTATATCTTTATAATCCTAGCCAAAGTAGGAATTTGAATTTTACATCTTCGTCTATACACTATCTTAAATAATAGATTGAATTAATTATACTAAAAGCTTAATTTATATATGACAATTAATGGCAGGTACTCAAGAAGAAGCTGCTCGTGCTTATGACATTGCGGCCATTGAATATCGAGGGATCCATGCTGTGACCAACTTCGACTTGAGTAGTTACATCAGATGGTTGAAACCGGCAGCAAATGCTGGTAATCATGAACCTGCAGAGAAACTAGTCACACCAGTGTTGATGCTAAGAGACGAAGCAAAACCTCCATTCCTGAGCTCCAATTCTTTCAGTGCCACTGCAAAGTTCATCAATTCTCCAGCGGAAGATCAACAAGTCTTTCAGGCCAAATTGCCAGTCATCAACTCGTACAACAAGTCTTCGTCGCCCACTGCACTTGACCTCCTGCTTCGATCTTCCATATTCAGAGAACTCATGGAGAAGAACTCATCAAATGTGTCTGATCAGGATGAAGCTGATTATGGTGATGCTGAGATCAAGAACATACAGCTTGTAGCCAGTGATCATGATGATGACTTTGGGGGGTTCAACTTTTACGATGAGGTTACTGAAGTCCCATTTATTTGCTCTACTAATAAGCACTTGGAAGAAAGAGAGCTGCAAATTATTTTATAAGTTAATTGTATGATCAAACATGTAATTTTTACACATGGATATACACACACAACGGACTGTATCTGCATGCAAGCATGTATCTTTTTCGTGGAAAAGCTTTAATTCAGACAAAAACTGCATGCATACTATATCCTTATATTAATTAAGCTTTCTTCTTTCGTGAAAGATCATGGTTATAGGCTTACGAATTGAACATACACATTCATATATATATATATATATATAGGTGATCTTTCTTCTTTAACTTATTTGATGTCGTGCATAATGAAAGATGTAACGATCCCAGAAATTTAAAAAGAAATACATATAATAATCTGAGTGCGGAAGCGAAATAAAATATTAAATTTAATATCCATTACATAATAATTTAAAAGTATTAAACAATATCACGGAATAAATTCTCTAAAAGAAATAAGAGAAATGAGAAAAAATACGAAAAATTATAAAGTATCTAACATCTACTCGCCGTCTTCTCGTGGATCGGGCTCATGAATCATATCCTCCTTATCTGAAATGGTTAAATAAAGAATGAGCTACACTAATCCAATAAGGACATCACACTATTTTACCGTCACAGAAGTAAAGGTTGGTAGAAAACCGAAAACAACTAATGGAGCACAAATTTTAAACAAATACAGTTATTTAAAATAAAACCACTTACCTTTTTTCTTGCCATTGGAAAATCTGTGAAAACAACCTATAAAGAAAATAACATCCTACAGATCACAATTTCATGCATAATCAGTAACATAAAATACATCATAAACCTGTATTCATTAACAATACCTAACTATCACCGTTTCTCATTTTTCACTAGCCTACTAGTATCCATGGGGATCCATAGGGGTCCTCACTACACGTGAACCATTTTCTTTAAACAATCTTAATTCTAGAGCCGTCCCAATACCCCGTCCGGTATGAGCACTAAAACAATAAACCTCAATACCCCGTTCTGTATGAGGGTGAAGCGGGTCGTCTCCATACCCTGTCCGGTATGAACGCTAAATGACCAAGTCTTCATACCCCGTTCGGTATGAGACAATGTTCACAGTAGGGTTCCCTATGAACCCGGTCCGTCCACCATCTCCCAGGATATCTAGTAAGACTGTCACCTCATCCATTTATCAAATCACATCCCATTCCTATTTGTCCTTAGTCTCCGTTACCAACACAAACATAAATACATAAACAAGTAACGTACATCCAACAAAGCAAATATATATTAGATTCCCAAAATCAAACAGCAGTAAAGTAAGCAGTAATTCATGTATTTAAAATCATAAAATAGATAAATCAGATACCATAATGCATTTAAACTGTAAAATAAATCAAGCAGGAATCGACAGGGAATAATATCCGATTTCGAGCTCCATTAGCAACCTTAATTAATTTTGCATATCTATTAATTGCACAAAATACAGTATTACCATTTATTTAAACTTTAATTCCATGATAGGAAATAGAGTGAGGGGTCCTTACTTGATTTGACGCCGAAAACTAAATTTTCACTGCGCCTACGGGCGGTTCCTAGGTTCCCTAAATTTTTCTCGGGAACTGAAACGCGCTTACGATATCTACACATGTTCCAAATAACCTAAAAATTAGACCCAGGGTCTACTCAACCAATTTTAGAATTCCGGCATGGCAGCTCCACCGTGCTCCAGCGACAGCACTGCAGTTCGCGGCGGCGATCCACCTCGGGTTGGCTGTTTTTGGCCGAATTCATCCAAACTTGCATCAGTTCCTGTGAGAAAACACACTTAGGGCCCTCGGTGGGCCCAAAAAAATACAGAAAATCGAAACTTACTAATGGTGGGGCTCTCCGGTGTGGCGGCTTCTCCGGCTCACGTCGCGGTTGAGTGTTTTGCTCTGGTCAACCTGTAGAGGAGGAAACGGTGATCACAACGGTGAAAAAATCTTATTGAACGGGAATCGAGAAGGACCTCATCGGAGACAAAAATCGAGACACCCCGCGGCGGCGCCGCTGAGTTTTGGCGGCATTTTTCGGCCAATTGGCCAGTGCTTTTGCTCCAATTTGGCCATAGGTGGATTTAGAATCAAATTCTGAGCAAATGGTAGAATTGTTTACCTCATTTGGCAGCCAGAAATTGCTCCGGTACGGCGGCGAGTGGCGGCGGCTGGGCTGTCTTCTCCGGCGAGGGGCTCTGGCGGATAGGGTTAGGGTTTGGGTGCATATGAGGTTATTTATACCCATCCGCTTTTGATCTTATCCGTCCATCGCTTTTGATCTGGACCGTCCGATCGTGATTAAATAGGGAATGAATCTGAACCGTCCATCGCGATTCAATATGGACCGTCTGTACGCTATTCAATCTGGACCGTCCGTGCACGATGCAATCTGGGCTGTCCGTGCGCGCGAGAACAGATCTCAGTCGTTCGATCGCGCGCACGCGGATCACCCACGTGGCTCCCTCCCGCGTGGCCTTCCGCGTCAGTGTCTCTGCCACCTGGCGTGTTCTGGTTGGCCGGGGCTGCTGATCAAGCAGCTGGCGCGGCACAAATTTTTTAATTTGCGTTTTGACCCCCGGTTTTCGATTTTTCTTTCAAAAATACCATAGAACCCAAATTTTCACCTATTTTCTCTAAAATTATTTTCAATTAAATCTCTAAATAATTTTTACCCCTTATTATTATTATTATTAAAATAAATTAAATTAAATTAAATTCTATTAATACTAAATTATATTTATATAGAATAAATTAAAATAAAATAAAATAAAAAATATGATAATAATAAAAATGAAAAGAAATTTTTTGGGTGTTACAAAAGACAAATTATCAAATTAATTTTTGAACTTTAGCACTTATAACAATTTAATTTTTAATATTTTTTTATTACAAGTTTTTGTTTATTTATTTTATTTTTGTATTATTTTTAAACTATTTAGATATTGTATAATCATGTTGCATTTTTTTTTCAATTATAAAATAAAAAATTAAACGTTTAAAACAAATAAAAAATCAAATACTAAATTATAATTAAAAAAATATTATGAATTAAACTGCAATAGATATGTGTCTGAAAAAGTTGGTTGTCTATGAAGATCAATTCAAAGTATGAGAAATTTAATAAAATTGTGAAGAACCCTGTTTTGAAGTTAGTATTTTTATGATTTTTATAGACTTAAAACTCTCACTAATATTTATTGAAATTTTAAACATTAACAAAAAATATTGTCTACCGTGAAATTTTTGACAATCTTCCAAGAGTATGGTTTTAATGTTAATTTAATGTTGTGATGAAAATTGTGTTAACAAAAAATATTATTATATTCCTAATATCTTACATACAGTTTTATAACTCATTGAAGATGGTAAGTATTTACAAATAGGT